TTACGTCCTTTAACACGATTATTATTTATTAAATTAGCGTTGCGAGTCATTCATTGAACTGTGTTCGGACACGAAATTATTTAAATTAAAATATCATTTACGTACTTTGTTAATTTTCACTGTACACCTTGCTTAAAAATTTCATATGTTACACACAAGGTGTCATGCACACTAGAAAATTAAAACGGCCGTCACGGTTAAATTACTTACTATTTCGAGTCCGAAAAATTAGTAAATATTCTTCAGACGTTCTAAAGTAAAGGTGAACAGCGTTTTTCTTAAAAATATCACTGTTATGTAATAAAAAAAAATCCGGAAAGTTCTCGCTTCGTGATTTGTTCAATACTTCGAACGCGGCTCGAGTCCGTCCCGACCATCTGTCGAAGCCTCGTGCTGCGGGCTCTCGAACTTCGCGCCGTCACCTCTCATTGGTCAGTGTTTTCCGTTAATAACTCGTAAATAAAGCCGCAGATTGCATTTTCGCAAAGGAAAAAGTTGCTTCAAATGACCTCAGCTACCCCTCATTTTCGGCTGTTAAAATAATTGTGGAACACCCTGTATATCTGTAAAATACCAAAGGAAATCGAACCTTGATCTCTAATATTATACATATACTCTATTTCAATCATATTTAAAGCATCACTGAAATTTTTTAGTCATTAATATCTGGTATCGTATTAAATACTTAATTCCGTAATAGAGTGTATTTTCGTAAACGTAACGACGAAATCTAGCATTGTTCGAAGACTCAACTAAATTTGTGACCCTAAGGTAGTCTTGTAGTCCCCTCGTTAGTCTCTTGCACCCTCTTGGAGACTATGCACGACCTAAGTCCCTGCTATAAATCCTACGAAGCTTGAATAGCGCTTTGCCATCCGACTTCAACTCCTTTGTCTTATTTAGAAACGTATTTTTAGATTAATTTCCACGAGTAGATTGCAGTTCTTTATGCAAATTCATTATTCCATTAATTACTTTCGACAAAACAGTTTGAGAAAAAATTATTTCGCCGATTAGAAAGTTCCTTATAGGAAAAGTAAAGTAAATGTATCGTTAATATCTGCCAACCTAAATGCAAAAAATCATAAAAATCTATCGTTGATAATTATATCAGTAATACTATATAGCATAATACAAGTCGACCTAAATTAAAAAATCCATACAAATCTGCAACTGTGCGCAAATAAAATCAAAATGCGTAGATAATTCATTCATCTGATACTATTATATTATAATATTGTCAATATATTTACATAAAACTAAGTAAAACTCTACTACCGTGTATAAGTTAAATGAAAATGCGTAGACAACTAGTTAACTTATCATGACTATAATATTGATCAACCTAATATTTGTCAACCTAAATTCAAAAATTCCTCAAAACCTACAACTTCGTATAAGTGAAATGAAAATGAATATATAGTATATTAACCTAGTAC